CCCTCCCTCTCTAATTGTAGTTTAAATTGTTAATCCACACCCCCAATTGCCTGTAGGAAATGACTAGGTAAAACACCTACACTTCTACTAAACATCATGAAATGGGATAATCATAAAGTTTCATGGAAGATTTTTTTTTTTCCTTCAAGACAGGGTTTCTCTGTGTAGTCCTGGCTGTCCTGGAACTCACTCTGTAGACCAGGCTGGCCTCAAACTCAGAAATCCGCCTGCCTCTGCCTCCCAAGTGCTGGGATTAAAGGCGTGCGCCACCACCGCCGGGCTTTCATGGAAGATTTAATCATTATATTATCCATGTAGCAATCTGTCTGTAGTTAACGCGTAGATGGAACCTATCAAGAGGATGTGCATTTCAAATGAAACTGGAATTGACTCTCTTTGTAATTGTGGGAACCACTCTTAAACCTGATGTGTACACTTTGCAGGCCCCTGAGCTTCTCTGTGACTCTGTATGGTGATGAATAATGTTGGCGCACGGAGGCATAGGCAGTAACTTCCAGGGCCTTCCTCTCACGTGCTTCCGTCCTGCTTGGTCTACCTTCCTTGACACACGACTGCTGTCACTCTGAGTGAGGTACTGGGCAGGAGTGCCTGCAGTGTCTTTACATTGGCGCTGCTTGGCAAGTCAGCTTGTGAATCTGGTCCAGACTGCAGACATGGGAGGGTGCCCTCTGCTGACCCCGCCTCCACTCCAGCTGCCCTGGCTCTCACCTTATCTCAGGGCAAAGGCATGCGCCGATTGAGCAGAGCATTAAGTCATGATCGTTATCAGAACTGAAGGAGAAGGACAGCAGGGGGAGGAGAGGAGGCGATCTTGTACTTTATTTCCTGTCATCTGGACTGCATGAAGTCACGCACAGGGTGTTCCCACAGCCACGTACATCATGGCTCCTCTCCTCTGTGCACTCTTGTTGATTAAATATGTAAGCGAGTGGATAGTTTTTGTGCTTGTTATTGTATATGTATCTTGTACAGTGTTTTTTTGAGCACACTTCCAAATTGTCTCTTTCTAGTCTCCTTCTTTTTCCTATCAGGGATCAGACCACACGTCTAGATTGCTGTGTCTCCTGGAGAGAGCAGTAGCCCACTTTACTGCACCAAGCAAAATCTTTAAAAACCCACACATGTGTATGTTGTTTAGTGAATTCTTCAAATCCTTTTCAAAGTAGAATTAAGTTTGTTAGGATAGGTCACAATTTGAGTACTTGAATTTGAACTACTGTTTAGGGCACAGAGTATGGCTTATTATTTTTGCATTCCTAGATTTTCCACTGATCTATGTAGTAATAAAAAGTCACCAGTTAAGAACATATGAGACTACATATTGCATGGGAAAATCCTGGAAATTTGATTGTATTAGAATATTTGCTTTTAATAAAGAGAACAAAACAAAAATTATTAAACACGACCTGTACTTCTAAAACTTTGAGTAAATAATTTATGATAGCTGGGTGGTGGTGGAACATGCCTTCAATCCCAGCACTCAGGAGGCAGAGGCAGGCAGAGCTATGAGTTCAAGGCCAGCTCGGTCTACAGAGCTAGTTCCAGGACAGCCAGGACTACATAGAGAAACCTTGTCTTGGAAAAACAAAACAACACAAAAAGAATTTACTATTTTGAGAAAGTTTTCAGTACCTGAATCAGATTGGAATATCTGTTTTGAGATTCTATTTTATTAATTACTGGTGAGAACTTAACCCTGTTATTAATAATATTTGACATTTTTTGTTTTATGGCTTTTGCATCTGGAATACCTCCTTCTAATTTGTCTGAATGAGAAAACAGTTTATATCTTTTGAAATATTTATGTGTGTGAGTGTGAGTGTATGTGTGAGTGTGTGTGTGTGTGTGCAGGCATGTCCACATGTGCAGGTTAGAGGATAACTCTTCAGAATCATTTTTCTTGTGCCTGATTGTGGTAGGTGGGGATTGAACTCAGGATAACTCAGAAGTGAGTGACTCTACTCACTGACTCATCTCACTGGTCCAGATTGTGTTATACACTACATGCTAAAGTGTACTTTTATAACCTTTACTTTAAAGTACAAATCAGTCAATACGAGTAGAAACTTCGTTGTTAGGATTTTGTAGGAGAATAAGATGTAGGTTTTTCACATCAGTTGGGATGGATCCAGCAGCCATAGCTGACAGATCTCCTTTGTCTTATGCATGCATTTGAGGAAGTCTGTGTTGATCGGAACAGAAGACAGTCCACTGGGTGGTAGGTGTTGGGATAGCTCAGGGCAGTCGTTTATTTCTTCCTCCCTATACAAATGTCTCTGTTCTCATCAACCAACTAAGTTAGTTCCTGGGATAGTTTTGGGAAATTAGTTTCATTTTGGTTTTGTTTGTTTGTTTTTGTTTTGTTTGAGACAGTCTCTCTACTGTCCTTAATTAGTTTCATTTTGGTTTTGTTTGTTTGTTTTTGTTTTGTTTGAGACAGTCTCTCTACTGTCCTGGCTGTCCTGGAATTTGTTTGAAACCAAGCTGGCTTTGAACACACAGGAATCCTCTGCCTTTGCCCAGCTTTTTGGTTTATTTTTAAGATCACCATAAAAAAAACACCCAACAACAAAAACAATTGTATCTGTAGGTGCTGGTTGATTGCCCAGGGGATCCAACAACAAGCTTGATGCCAGATAGACCCTAGACCTCAAAATGCTAGTTCCTGTCTGTGCACTTGGATGGAAAAGGGCTTGTTCCCACGTTCCATTGGTACTTATTGGAAATAAATAAACTCTTGCTTAATGGAGCTGCTGTATGACCATCTATTAAGAGTTCTGTTTTTTAATCATACAATTAAATCAAAATCTGAAGTTGGGATAGATGACTCCCTGGTATGAATTACACTGAAAACTCACATCAGCATATGGCTGAAATCCTAGCACTTGAGAAGCCGAGGCACGAGGCCTGAGAATTTGAGACCAGGTTGAGCTACATAGTAAGTTTGAGACTATTCTGGCTCATGTGAAACCTTACCTGAAAACAAACAACAACAAAGCAGAAAGTTAAGAATATTTAGAGACTTAATATAGAACTTAATATCTTCAATGATATCACTGGTAAGAGTTCTTTAGGCCAGTCGATCATACGGGGGAGCTATTTTAGAACAACAAAACTACATCTCTTATCTTTTAACATACCTTTTACTCCAACGCCAATAAAGTTTAGAAATGGGTCCAGAGACTCAAATCTGAATTAGAACCACACATGGGAAACAGGTATATAAGATCTGTAAGATCCAGCTTCAGCTGGCCACTAGGGATATGACAGTCTCCAAGGAGATACATACTTTAAGCCACAAGAGGGTAGGTTTATGGATCCTGTTGACTTAGGGCAGTTTCAAAGCTGCTTTGGAACAAGCTGAGATTTCTGGATATCTTTGTACATCAGTTTAGCTTTCTTCAGGGGATAGCCTGGCTCTAATTCAAACCATGAATTTTGGATGTGATTTGCTTCACTGAAGTTGACCTTTGGTGAGGGCCATTTTTTTAGGGCAAGAAGGTTCAAGCTGTGTACTTAAGCCAACTGACTTCTCATTCAGCTTTTTAATTTTTAACTCTTTTCTCTTTTACCTGATACAGGTTGGCAAGGTGGTGGTTAGTTTTGATCAAAAATGGCTGGTTCACTCCTGGATGGTCCACGTCATGAGCGGCTGCAGCCAGTAGTCCAAGCATGATGTCCAGAGGTGTGAGGAAGCTTGCCAACTGTTAAAGAATAAAATCCGGTGATTGATTGTTATCTGCCGCTAGAAGGACATTTGATGTGTCTAAAGCAAACAGAGTGAGATATTGTTCAGGACTGTTAACCAAGCCTCTGCCCTCTGTGGCAGGCACTCGGGGCTGCAGTAAAAGGGGTGAGGAAAGTGACCGGGCAAACAAAACTGGTGTTCTCCTCGATCCTGCTAACAAGGCTTGCTATTGCAATGGCATAGCCTGTGGGCAGTACTGATGACTGGTGGGCAGGAGGAGCAGAGTAACCAGCCTTACTCAGAGAAAGTAAGTTGCAAATGAAGAAACAAAGGAATAAACAGACTTAAAGAATCATTCATTTATGTGTCTTTGTTTAAAACATTCATTTAAAAAATATTACTATTCTCTTTCTCCACCCTACCCCCGTGTGTGTGTGTGTGCACGCATGTATGTGTGTGTGTAGAGACCTGTGAATTCCATGGCATGTGTGTGGCCTTCTGCTTTAGGATCTGTGAACCTAACTTAGGTTGTCAGGCTTCTGTGACAAGAGCTTTTACCTACTGAGTATCTAACCTGCCTGCCCTTAATCCTGTTTTAAAAGCCTGTATTAGGGATTGTACTAGGGCCTCACATGCTTGTCACACACACTACCACTGGATTTAGCCCCCATTCCTGGTGCATTTTAACTAATATATATCTTTGCCACTTCTTTGAAAGAAGTAGATTGAATGGCAAAATTTGCATACTTTCTCACTGTGGAATAGAGGGTCGGAGAATGTATGAGAATCTAAATTTTGGCCAACCAGGAAAACGAACATGAAAATGGGAAGTCTGGTTTAAAAGGTAGAAGCATATGATGTAATTTGTATACTATTTGGAGACTGAAAAGTCTTTGTTTTACAGGGGTGCAGCATCCTTCTAGCTACATCCTGGGATGCCTTTGTTCTTAGCGGCTTATGTTGAAGCATCTATGTATTTAATGAATTACTAAAATTGATACAGCTAAGAAGATTCTTGGATTTGGATGTTTTTTTTTTAAACCTTCAAGAAAATTCCTACTGTATATTATACCAAAACCCTAATTGTTTTTACTAGTGAGGAACTGCCCGGATTGTAACAACCATTCATCGCCTCGATTGTAACAACCATTCATCACGTCAATTGTAACGACTGTCGCCTCGATTGTAACAACAGCCACTGTATTACACTATCATTATGTCTTCATTCTCTGACTTCGGTTTGGTCCATTGCATCAGAGCGTATTTGCTAAGAGGTGTTGGACATTCACAGATTTTCCTGGCTTCTGAATCAAGATTTTCCATTGGCTAAGTAGAAATTGGACTTGAGACTGGAGCTTCTGATCCCATTTATTGATCAAAAATTGAAAGCTGGGAAGCCTTTTCCAGTTGAGCTCAGTGCTGGCAGTGTTTGTGGTAAAAGTCCATGGCAAAGTGCTGGTCTTTGGGACCACTGAGGACACACACACACACACACACACACACACACACACACACACACACACACGGGGTAGGGTGGGATGGGTGGGATTTTTTTTCTGGCCTCCTGCAGCCCTGAAAACAATCAATAAACTATGGATGGAAATCTGTAAAAATTCATATCTCTTCTCATGGATGTGGTAAGATTTTCAGAGCCAAAAAGGTTAGTATAAATACTTTTCATTCATATTGTGAAGGATTCCTAACATTGGCTACTCTGGTGCTTAGCAATATGCTGACTTGGCATCTCCAGATGGCTGAGGAGGCAACCAGGTCTTGCTTTACCTTTGGCTCCTTCAGGTAACAGTGCATGGCCTGGGTGACGTCAGCTGCATGAACAGCATTGTGGTATGGGTTGTGACCGTGGTAATCTTCCTGAACCATAACTAGGAGAAAATAGAAAGCTTAGTCAGCTAAGATCAAAGTAAGAATGACATAGCAGATAAGACTAATTTGAGGTGGTTCTTGCTTAAAAGTATCAGAGCTTCTAAAGTACACAGCCTGAGGAATCCTTAAAAAAAAAAAAAAAAGGTGGTTTGCAAGCCTTGCCCTTGGCTGTTTGTAATGGGGAGGAAGGGGAGAGAAAGGCCAGGAGGATTTGTGCCGCTTGCAGGGTTTCTCACCTCTTCCATACATGACCCCTTCCTGGCGTCTCATGAAGGGCCTCTCTTATTCACAGGAAAAATAAATATGGAGGGAAAAGGACGACTTTATTTCGCACCATCTTTCAGTTATCTCTCTGTTGCCGTTTATTAACAATGTGCTGTAGGAGATGCTTTCTTTTAGAGTCCTTGTGTTTTGGATTCCTGCTGTCCAGTGATTGGATTACCACTTGAATAACAAACAGTCATCCAAACATATCTAGGCCTCCGGCAGGTAGCTATTACAGGGCTGCACTGAGCCGAGCGGGCCCTCTATTCAGAGGATCATCTTTCATGCCCCTCTGGCACAAGGCAGGGCGTAGAGTACCAAGTCCATGAAAGGTAATACAGTTTTGGTTTGCTACTTATAGAAGAAGCCAGTACCCACTTCAGCATATAACCAAATCAGTGCTCGGGATGAAATACATTCAGCGTGTATAAAATGTCCAGACTTACAATGGCCATATTCTTTTAGTGTTGCTTCAAACCTGGCTCCAGAGTCTGCTGCTAACTCAGATGCCAAGACTGTATTTCTTACATGTTCTGGGGGCACACATATGTGTCCAACGAATCTGTATCTCTTTAGACCAATCTAAATGATTTGGCCCTTTTCATGGCCATTACTTTGCTCAAGCAATTAGAATGCAATCAGCCTGAGGTTGTTTATGTTTCTGGAAAGGAGCCAGGTTGTGGTTGGTTACACATGTCTCTGCTATGCTGCAAGTACTCTTTTATTCAGTAGGCTTGCTTCATATCATACGTAAGCTCCAGCTCTGACACTTATCTGTGATGTGTAAATTACTTAACCACAATCCTCAACTTCTTATAACAATGCCCTGAGTCCAAGCGTTGCTGCCTTTGAATGATCCATGTATTAATACATGCAGTCCTTGGAAGAGGATGCAGGAGATGTACGCGCCATGTAAACCTGGTGGCGGATGCTGCTTCTACCTTCCTCCTGATGGCACCAAGTCAACTTTAGAATTCATGGTACTGTCACATGACAAGTGTGGCTTGAACCAGAAGTGTGCTAAGCGGCAGGGGCCAGTAATCAGGTGACTAGGAATCTACCTTGGATAATTCATGTGGGGAGGTAAATAAGACCATTCACAGAACTAAAGAGGAACTGGGCTGCTTTTAAAGAAAGACTGATGGACGCTGTGGCCTCGTGGGTAAAGATGGCGGGCTTTGACCTGTATGTGACCTTAGGTCTGTCACTAGTCATTAGCCTTGGGAAAGTACTGAAAGCTCTTGGTTGTCCTCCATAACTGTGGAACAAGTGGTGATAATAGTGTCCAACTTGTGGGTTCGTCAAACAATTAGAAGTGATTAACTTAAAGTATTCCACCCACAGTGGTGGGATGCAAAACATAGTTATAATTCATTCTAAGGGTTTCAGCAAATCGTGTTGTGACCATCATTATCTCATTGGGATTCTATTAATGTGAGAACATATCAGAATTGTCTTGACACCTATATATCCTTGTGGTTTTCGTTATAGATCCTTAATCTATATGTACTGTAAGCATAACACATTAAGCTAACAACTCAGCAATGACTTACGACAGATTAGTTATATTTTAAAACTAAGATTAAATCTTTTAAGACTAATTTGAGGTCTTTTTCTATCATGCCGTGGTTCTTAACACTGTATTTATTTAAAATTATTTCTGCTTTTTTGAGATTAAAATATATTTACATAATTTTTCATTTCCCTTTTCTCCCTCCAAATCCCCATATTCTTTCCTTGTTCTCTTTCAAATTCACACACACACACACACACCCCACACTACACGCACACCACACTATATACATATACCATACACACATCACACTACACACACACCACCCTACACACATACCACACTATACACATACACTACATACACACCACACTATACACATATACTACACACACACCACACACCACACACACCACACTATATACATATACACTACCCACATACCACATACCACACTACCCACATACCACATACCACACTACCCACACACACCACACACACACACCCTATACATATACATCACACACACACCACACACACACACCACACTACATACACACACCACACATACACAAACACACCACACTACACACATACACCACATACATATATATTCCTAAATACAAATACAACCTGCTGTTGTATTTGCTACATATGTGTATCTTTCAGGGCTGACTATTTGGTGTTGAATAACCAATGAGTGAACTTTTCCCTGGAGAAGACTGTATCTCCCATTCCCAGCATTCCTTGGTTGTTGTTTGCTCTCTGTGTATGGCTGAGGCCTCGTGGGCTTTCCCTCATGTCATGTCTGTTCAGTCCTTTGTTCAGCTCATGTTCCTTGATACTTGCAACCAATACATTATGCATTGTCCATTATTCCTGTGAAATAATTCTTGAATAGGGATATGCAAGGAAAAAAGACTTACCCAAAAACCTGTGTAAGGTTACCATATCGAGCTTAAAATGGTGGATGAGTCCATGGGAGTTGAAGAGGTGACACAATAGAGTTACCAGACTGTTCCCTGCAGAGGAATAGGCACTCACTTTATTTTTATTAACCAACCAACCAACCAACCAACCACAATAGCAACAAAATACTAGCAAGATTGAAAATAAGATTTAAAATTTCCAAAATAAGGTTTCTATGATAGAGTAATTCCCCACTTTTCATTTGAAACTATATATATTACATTTTTTCTAGGCTTCTCATTATATTGTGTAAATAAAATTAGTTCCCATCTTCTTATAACAGAGGAAAAGAAATTATTAAATGAAGGAATTTGTCTACTGAGTATGTATGTGTAATTTTAAGAACACATAGACCTTCAAAATATCCTTTAAGTCACTTCCAATTTACTTTTCACTGTAGAGATATTTAAGTTACTACATTATTCAACAATTGTAGTCCATTCATCCTATGGCACTTATCCAAAAGAAGACTGACTGAGATACTTCACAAAATTATGACAATACTCAAGAGATACTATCTATCTAAGAATAATAATTTTGAATTATAATTTAATTAATTTATTCATTATTTAAGATAAAGTCTCATTACACAGTAATCCAGGATAGCCTCAAATTCATGTTCCAGTAGTCTCAGTTTCCTGGGTGCCACCATGCCTGGGTGGCAGGTATTTTTAATACTTTATGAAAGTGTTTCAGAGATTAAAGACTTTGCAATGGATCAAGAGGCTGACCAAGTATCTTCAGTGGAATCTGAGTATTGCCAAAGAACATTCCTTTCAGGTACCTGGTTCAGTGTATCACCACAAATCTGATTGTCTTGGAGCCATTTCAGAACTCTCCAAGTTAGCAGATAGTACTGTAAACGATCTGTGACCATAGACTTATAACTGAAGCTAGTCTGGTGACAGTTCACAGCTGTTTATAATGAATTTTAGTGTGTGTGTGTGTGTGCATTTCTTTGAGGTTTACTTTTGAACTGTTGTGGTAGGTTAGCAGCAGGCTAATGAGCCGAGATAAACAAAACCTTTGATGGCTTCATTTCCCATTTCTGTAACAGTCATGATTATACTTTTTTTCAAATACCACTTAAGAAGTTATTTTTTTCACAGTTAATTTCAGTTATCAGTACCCCCTTCTAGCTGATGCAAACAAGAACAATGAAACATTATGGATTCCACCCATCGCATATATATTTCGGCTAGCTTTCCATAGAGTAAACATCCAAGACAAGATGTGACACTGCACATCTCTTGCTTGTCATCTCAAATGGTGTTGAGAAAACAATGGGCAATGACTTGATGAACACATAAGGCAGGTGATGAGTTAGACCATCAACATTAAGTGAGGTCTTTCACCGGCCTAATTTCATCTATGCTTTTTAATAAGTGGAGGAAAATGTATTTGATTATTTTCATTCATTAGGCATAAAACATGAAAGGGAGGCTTAATGGGAGTGTTTAATTTTCAGCTACAGCCTAAGTTTTTACACCCTTTCCCTGGCAATTACTTCCTTTTGATGATGCCAAACTTATCCAAGTGATACTTGCAATGGGCAGCCTCAGCTTCCTTAAGAAGCAACAATAACTACCTTGTCTGTAAGAGACAGAACTGGTCAGATGTGTTTCTGTGTGTTCACTTTTTAGTGACTAATATTGAGCTTTTGGACATGACCAGAATATTCTGTGAGGAAAGAGTGCAATCTGTGGTTTCCCAATTCTTTTGGGATCACAGTTCAGAAGGAAACCATCCTAACATGCTAAGGTCAGATTCAGTCCTCATTCTTCATCTGAATTAATTTTCCCCTCCCTGGTCTGTCCCAACTGACTATAGATTTATGAGAGTGGGAAAAGAAGGAAAAAAGGCATTTTTTCTAAAAATACAAATTGTTTCTCATGAAATGAATCCATTTTATGGTGTATATTTTAGTGAGAATTCTTTGAGGATAACTTACCATTTGTCAAGCGATCAAACAAGAAAATGTCAAAGTCCCACATTCCAACTTTGGAGAGCATATGCTGAGAAGGCAAACAAAAATAATGCCCAAGTGAAGCACACACTAAGATTCAAACATCTACTTCTAGACATGGTGATTTAAACAAAAACTCGGAAACTAGTATTCTACTCTATGTACAATAGATTTGGGGTAAACCAGATTCTACTCCATTCACTAATGTCAGCTCAAGGGGCAGGCTCTGAGTTGAAACCACCTGGTCTAATATCAGCCACTTTTCTTCCTGGCTGTTGGACCTTGGTTACATCCTTAACTTCTCTGACCCTCATTTGAAAAATGTGGCTGATACCATCTTCATCAGAGGGTTGTTTGTAGGGGTAGAGCGAGGTAGGGCTATATGCCCCAAATGCCCGTCACAGTGCTTGTTCACAGGGAGCACAGGTATAGGTGTCTGTTAAACCAGGGTGTGTACTGTAGGGAGAAGTGTTGTTCTGTTTGTATTGGTGATATTTGGGTTTAAATCCAGGATCTTCATGCCAGTCAAGAACTTCACCACTGAACTATAGCCCCAGTTCTTATCATAAAAACTTAAAAACAAAGTGAAAACCACTGATGAGCATACTATATTGCCCAGTGTGGACTGCATGTAAAGTTAACTGTATAAAAAACCAGTGAGTACACCAGTCAGAATGGCTAAGATCAAAAACACAGGTGACAGCAGATGTTGGCGAGGATGTGGAGAAAGAGGAACACTTCTCCACTGTTGGTGGAATTGTAAACTGGTACAACCACTATGGAAAGCAGTCTGGCGGTATCTCAGAAAATTGAACATAGTGTTACCTGAGGACCCAGCTATACCACTCCTGGGCATATACCCAAAAGATGTTTCAACATACAACAGGGACACATGCTCCACCATGTTCATAGCAGCCTTATTTATAATAGGCAGAAGTTGGAAAGAACCCAGATGCCCTTCAACAGAAGAATGGATGCAGAAAATGTGGTACATTTATACAATGGAGTACTACTCAGCTATTAAAAACAACGAGTTCATGAAATTCTTAGGCAAATGGATGGAGCTGGAAAATATCATCTTGAGTGAGGTGACCCAATCTCAAAAGAACATACATGGTATGCACTCACTGATAAGTGGATATTAGCCCAAAAGCTCACAATTTCTAAGAAACAACGTATAGACCACATAAAACTCACATAGAAGAAGGAAGACCAAAGTGTGGATGCTTTGGTCCTTTCTAGAAGGAGTATCAAAAGTTTCAACCAGAGCTCTCAAAGTCTAAACCGCCAGCCAGAGAGCACAAAGGGAGGAACTCATGCACCTGTATAGGGAATTGAGGGTGACCTTGTCAGACTTCAGTGAAAGTGGAGGACTATGGTCCCCAAAAGTTTGGATCCCCTACTGTGTGGGAATTTGAGAGCAGGGAGAAGGGACTGGGAGGATGTTTGGAGCACACCCTCACAAAAATAGGAGGAGGGGGTATGGGATAAGGGGCTTTGGGGGAGAATGGGAGAGGAGATAACATTGAAAGGTAAATATAAATACGTATAATATCCAATAAAAAAAACCACACAGATAAAGGGTCTAAAAAAAAAAAGAGAGGGAGAGAGTTTACTTATTTCTAAATTATTTTCAAAAGTTTCTAGCTGCTAATTGGCTAAGATCCTATTTTAAGCTCTCCACAAAAGAATTTAAGTCTCTGTTCAATATTCTCAAGAGAGATGTAAATCCTAATTTTCCTCAACAATTAATTGACAAAAGAGAGGTAATCTCACAAAAAGTAGAAGAAGCTATTACTAATGGATATATTATATAGTCTGATTAGTTGTCGGTGGTGCTATAACAGTCCTTTAACAAAAGATTATTAATATAGATTTATATATCCTTAAATAGGGTCTTCATGACTCTCTGAGTGTGGAAGGAGCGACTGTTGGCCCTTCTGCCCTGATTTTACAAGAACTCTGAAAAATTGGCTTTAAAAACAAAAGAGGGGGAACGGTACCCCCCAGAAGGAGTCCCCCTGAAATACTCTCCATCATGCCTTGTTTACTTTTATCTCTCTAAAGCTGAAAGCTCATGGCAAATCTGCTGCTGACTGCCTCTGGCACCACCGAGACCAACAAAACTTTGCCACAGATATGGGGATGGACTCTCTTACACTAAAAGGGAATGGCCCAGACTCAGTTCCCTTATGGGGCAGAGGACTGATATTCCTGTCTGATACCACAGAAGGCACAGCTAACCGGCTACCAAAAAAGATTAATGAAAAAAATAGATAACCCCACAAAGCCAGGCCCAACCATAAATAAGATGAATAACAATTTACATCCAGGGAAGAGAAATCTCCCTGAGAATTCCCTTCTTTTTCCTTTCCAGGTAAAAATGAATCACTCATGATGCCTGCTGTTAGAAGTTCTAATCCAGATGCTGGCCTCCGAAATTATACTACTCAGACCTTTGAAGGGCCACTGACAAGAACATCAAACAACTACAGATTGACATCACTAATCTGAAGAAATCCCTTGTTTCACTGTCTGAAGAGACCTCCTAAAATCGCAAAGATCCTTATTGGACTTGATTTACTCTAGTACAATAGAAAAGGCTGTGTACAGCTCTTGACTGTGTACAGCCCTTAAAGAGGAAGGTTGCCTTTACATAGACAAGACAAGGAGGGTTAAAGAGAGCATGAAATAGGTCAGTGAAGGCACTAAGAAAAATCAGAGAGAGAAAGAGACAGATGAATGTTGGTACAAGAATTGGTTTTCAGCCTCTCCAAGGTTGTCAACCCTATTTCCTCCCATCTTGGGACCATTATTTGGGTTCTTTTTGCTTATTTCTGCTATTCCCTGGCCCTCAAATAGGCAGACTAACTCTGTGATACAACAGATAAATAAGTAGGTAGCAAAACCTACTCAGATACATTATCATAAGTTAGCTATGGAGGACCACGAGACTCAAGATGAGGTTGTTACTTTATACAGGGTGTTTCCAAAACCCATCTCCACCCAACCTAAAAGGGGGGACTTCTGCCCCTAGACCAAGCAGAGAGGGGCCACCTAGAACCCCCTCTGTCAGGCGATCTGAATTCTTGCTTAGGCTGCGAGGCTAAGCACTGCAAGGGAATATAAATAAAAGATAAAAATATCTATCTGGGTTCCCTGAGGGACAAGCCTGACTGCATAGGGGTTGATGTCAAAAGTATCGCCTCTCTAGGAAAAAGACATCGGGACGGGTATGGCCCTCATGCCTCACTGGACAACGACAGGGGGACTGGAGCCATTACAAGGTCCCCTTCAAGTACTGGAGGTCAGGTCTCTATTCCCGCCTTCGAATGTTTAGAATTGCCACAGCCCTTCTATACTTAGAGAAGGGAGGAGATGTCAGGGGCAGCCCTGCTTACACACTGAAGGCTTAAAATCAGCCATAGGCCTAAAATCAGCAATAGGCCTGTCATACATGTATACTAACACCAAGTCTTGGGTCTCAGTGGAAAAACATCAAAATAGATGGCTATAAGCTAATGTAGACAGGCAGCTTTTGTGGAAATTTACAAGTCTGAGCAGTCATAGACCTTGTAAATAGGTAGCTTTGGCAAACAATACCAACTTAGATAAGGACAAGCGAGTGATAAGTAGAGTCATAGTGACTTGCCCCCTGAACCTTCACCCAGCCGATACCCGGTTCTGAAAGATATCTGTATTCCCCCTGAACACCCACACTCCAGTGTCATTCCCTTCCCCATATCCTGGCTTTCTGTGTTTATAATCCCTGTGTGAATGAATTACGATTTGAGAAAAAATCAATTATTAAAAAAAAAAGAAAAAAGAAAAAAAAGGAAACCAGTGAGTAAGTGACCATGCCACAGAATTTGAAGACTATGTATAATGAAGACTTATTTTTTTTTTTATTCAAGAGTAAGTCATATTTAGAATTAGATGTGACATAGAAGGTGAGATGGTTAATTCTCTCTGTTTCATAGTTCTAATAATTCCATCCATCTCTCTTTGAAGGTATAGTCACTAATACAAGGACTAGCTCATGATTCTCTCTGCTCCTGAGTGGTTCTGTGTCCTGTGAAAAATCCAGTGACTTATATAGCTTGCTTAGCCCTCACAATGTATTCAATAAACAAAGGGGTCTGTTTGGAGAGAACTTTTACCCAAATCATACAATATGAAAGGGAGAGCGAGGCCCTGTCTTCTGACAGGAGACTTCTGGTTATTATTTTGCCTATATCTCAACATCACCTTTAAAAATGTGGCTGCCTAGAGGAGAGAACTTACCATGAGTGCTCTGTCACCGACAGTGCAGTGTTAGAAGTTATTATTGATCTCCTTTCAACAAATTAGCCAAGTATCCACTACCTATTCAACTGCCCATCAACCATCACCTACTAACCAATCATCTACCAACCAAACACCAATTACAGGTGAAACACTGATCAACCAACCTACTAACTAACCAACCACCAACAAGCCACCAACTACCAAACAACCACCAGCTACAAACCAATCAACCAACTACCAACTATTAATTTATCAACAACTACAAGCTAACTAATCAACCAACCAATTTACAACCAACCACCACTAACCAACCAACCAAGTACCACCAACCAACCAACCACCAACTACCAACCAACTGCTAACCAACATGTCAACCAACTACCAACCAACAAGTCAACCACCAACTACCAACCAAACAGTGATCATTTAATTCCACCCTTAGGTTGTTGTAAGGTCTAATTAATTTTTTTCCTTTTATAGACAGGATATTAGAATTTTGTTCCTCTGATACTATTTATTGTTCATTTTTTAATGGCATATATGTAGTAATATATCATTATATGGAGATATTATATACCATGTAAGCTACAAATGATTACTATTGACCTCTGTTTGAATGGTGCCAAGTTTACTCCTGAAATTTAAATTCCTTTGGCAACTTAGGCTGGAAGTAACTTGAAAATTGTTTTTAAACAATCACACTTGATAATTACTGAAGGTATTTTCAGTTGGCACTATACAAGACAATTTGGTGGATTTAAAGATTTACTTATACACTAAGTAGTAGTGTTTCAGGCCATGCCAACACTTTACTTTGTTTGGCGTTGTATAAATATATTCTACACAATTATAAAAGTGAAAATAGCTAGTGTGTATTTGGTGTAAGCATATTAAGCATAGGGCCATGTTTTACCTCAGGATCAGCTGTGTAGCTTGGTGACATATTTAGTCAAATATCATATTAGCTTGCATAAATCCTGGGTTTAATCCCCAGCACTCCCTATCCCATAAATACAAAGACCACATGTTATATCTAGAAAATCTTTAATTACCTCTAAGAGGTACATTTTTCTATAACTGTAATTTTGTGTTTGGGAAAATAAGTATAGATGTGCTAAATAACAAACCCAAAGTCACAAAGCCCCTGAGAGGCAGAGTAGGGTTCAGACTCAGGTGATGTCAGCTGGGGCAAAGGCTCTTGGCCACTGCCTGCTGCAGGGAGACCTAGAGGTATCTGGCTTACCCTTGCTTGTCCAAGGTAGTCTTCATCCAGCAGGTGGAGGGGGGCCTGCGGTATAATCCCTCGGAGAAGCCTAGATGCATGGAAGTATCTTTGGAAACTTAACAGTCTTTTCACCTTTTTCTTGGTGCCAATTTCCCCTGAGTGTGTTGTATCTGTGGAAAGGAATCAGAAGCAGAATTCATGTGTTTAAAAGAGGGATCATTTTCTCTGTGTAGAGAATAATATATTAAAAGGAGAGACATTTAAAAGACACTTGAAGGGCTAAATAGAGTTGAATATGGTCTATTAACTTGATGTTTGAAATTCTTCTAATAAATGAGACAAACAAACAAGTGATCTTCTTGCCCTTTCTCTCCTCTGTCCCTCTGGGTCTCTCTTCTTTTGACAGAGTCTTGTATATAGCCAAGGCTGACCTCAAAATCATGATCTTTCTGCTGAGGCTGTTGAGTCCTGGGATTAATACACATAGCTTAGTGTTAGTTACATATTTTTCATACACCTTTCTTATATAATTTTGGATGACATGAACTGTATGAATTGAAAACTTCACTTTTTGGTTCGTTAATCCTCTTCAAATGTTAGAAGACTGCGAGAGAAATGTTTCCTGTTTTCTGAGGAATATCATTGACTAACTAACAATGCTGCAGAAAAAGCAAAGAGGATTCGTGCCTTGTGACTGTGTGCTCTCTCGCGCTGGGAGTTGTAAGTACTTTACCCAGGCGGCAGAGACTCATTCATGTTCACGTCTTGATGCTGACACTGTGGTGACTGTACAGAAATGTGGCAGGTATCATATGTGGACATCTGCTAAGGCATGTCTTATCTTACACAAAATTTTCCTGTCACTTTTGAGTTGTACAGTCGATGTCTTCAGCAAAGGTTAGATGTGAGTCAATTCAGGAGTCTGGTAGGAAAATGTATAGCTGGTGTATAGAGTAATTCGTTTTCTTCCATGTCTTCTTCCATCTCCCCTTTTCCCCTATAGCACTCAAAATTACCACTAATGAGAAAAAGAATGCCGGGGAAACTCAGAACAGTGAAGGACCATGTGTAACTCATTACTTGGCTGCGTGGAGCATGGAAAAGCATCATTCAAGGCCACAAGACCAGCTCTGCCCTGAAAACACTGCCTGATTAAAATGGCTAGTATTTAAAGCCAATGTAGATTTCACCCATGGAAAGAGGCAAACGTGTGCGCATGGAGGTAAGAGAGTGGCTGAGGTTGTGTTTGGCCTACATCAATATTAAGAATGCCATCTGTCAACTTCATTCTGCAGACAGCTTCTCCTTTCTATGAGTTTGTTATGGTAAAACATCAAATGAAGGTACTCATTCATTTATTAAACATAAAAAGCCAGAGCTGAGTGGTGGTGTCACATGCTTTTAATCCTAGCACTTGGGAGGCAGAGGCAGGTGGATCTTTGTACACCATTTAGTCTACAAACGAGTTTCAGGACAGCCAGGACTGTTACACAGAGAAACCCTGTTTTGAAGAACCAAAACAACAAACAAACAAAAACAAACAAAAAACAATAAAGAAACCCTGAATACCTTTTATGGGACTGTCCTAGACATTTTAGTGAGCAAAAACAAGATCTCTACCCTCTTAGAGGGGACACGGCAGTGAGAGGTTGACAATGTGTAACATAAAAGAAAAGGAATAATAAAAACTGAAGATAGATGTAATGAGAGTAGTAAATGTGTGTGCGTGTGTGTGCATGTGTGTGTGCGTGTGCGTGTGTATGCAGAGAACAAGGGATCAGAAATTCCATCTCAGTAGCAGTCAACACTGGCTTAATGAGAAGATAGAATCTGACCTAAATTAGAGGCACTGAGGGAATTAGCTGAGTAAACACCTGGGGATGCCTTTCAGGTATAGAAACTGGATCAACCAGGAGTGGGAGCCTGTTTAGGATTTTGGAATGAGCACTGAAAAGAAGGACCAGTCCCTGCGAAGAGGAAAGAGAGGGTGGACTGAAGGATGAATTCTTGGAACAGAGGCTGGCCTGGAAAGGAGATGTCTCGAGAAGTTGTTGAAATAGCCCAGTCAGGAGTGATGGCTGCTGAGACACAGTGGAGTCAGGGGAGGGTAGTGGGTAGTGACAATTCTGGCATTTTGGTTTCTTTAAAAAAAAAAAAAACAGAATTACTATAAGAATATGTTTTCATTTTAATCCCAGGTGTGGGATACGGGGCTGCTTCAGATTGTCCACCGCAGCTGTCTATGATTTTCCTTGTGCAGGGGTGTGATTCTGCCAGTGACAGATAGTTTCTTGGATCCTGTAGCGTTAGGAATTAAGGGGACTTTTCGGAGAGTATATAAATGCTAGGGCTTCCAAGAGGCGGGGTGGGTTGTTGATTGGCTGATCGTTGGTTGGTTGTGGTTTGTTATGTAGTTGGGAAAAAATGAAGAAAGAAGAAATTAGAGATCCTGATGGTAAAGACCAAACGTGCCCCAAGAAGCTTGACATTCCCAATCAGCAGGAAGTGGTCTAACGATAGTCTCACCCCATTTCCTTTCTGTCCTTTCTCTCTCTCCTATCTAGAGTTAGGAGGTCAGAAGGGTGGGGAAAGAATGGAGAAGGGTGGAAGAAAGAAACCACAAAGTAGCTAAAGACAGTCTATCAGAGAAAGCACAGAAATGGTGGAGGACTGTGAAAGGTATTTTAGTTATATCCAAATTTTTTTTTTGCCAGAATAGGTGGGAGAATGGCCTGCTATCTCTTGAGACAGAGAGGGGTGCAGTGAATTTGATGTCAAGTCCAGAGCTTGAGAGAGGACAGGGTTAGGGGTACCGGGTGGGACTCAGATGAGGTTAGCCAGAGTGAATGTGAAGATCCCTGAGAAATGATCCAAGCTTGAAGTGTGGGGTGACTCCACATCCTCTTCAGAATGGTATAGAGAAGAACAGAATTATGGGAGGTGAGGAGGGAGCAGATGGAAAGCAGGATAATGTCATTTCCCGGAAGCCTTCTGAACAAACACAACAGTGTGAGACACTAAGTATCGAACGTTGTTAATGGTGCCTGCAGGAACACCGACTCCGTACACTTAGAAAGCACACATTTTATTGTTTACACGCACAATAACTCCTTTTAGCAGTGGATACATCTCGCACTCGGGGAAAGGGCCAGTTATTGGTCCAGGACAGAAGATGTCCATGTGAACTGTGACACACTGCACCAGGAAATGAGAATATTAAATGCAGTGGGTTTGTGTAAAGGATGAGTTGGTGAGATGGCTCAGTGGTGCTTACTGTCCAGTGTAATGATCTGAGCTGGATCTCCAGGACTCAATAGTGGAAGGAGAAAACCAACTCCATAAGATGTCTTCTGACCAATGCACACACGCACACACACAGAGAACAACACAAGATGTCTTCTGACCAATGGATGTACGCATACACACACACACACACACGTATGCAGAGAACCAACTTTGCAAGATGTCTGCTGACTAACACACACACACACACTTGCACGCACAGAATATATGACAGGAGGCTTTAAGAGACCCCTTTAAGCAAAAGGGAAAAACTTGAGCTTCAAAATAAATGATGGAAGAATAAATTTCAAACCTCTAAACAAAATAAGAAGAAAAACATCAATGAATTTACAGTGTAGCAGGCAAGTGCTTAAGAGAAGAGAAAGCTTTTTGCAGAGAGTGCTGACCAATAAATGCAACAGAAATAATAGGATGGGAAAATTGTCACTTTGTAGCCATTAAGGTAATAACTGAATTGGGCCAGAATCCTTAATGGATATTACAATGATTAAGGAAAATTTAAAATACATCAGGTAATTGGATAATACCACAGGACAGAGAGAGTGGGCAGGGCTTTTTTTTGTGGCTGAATATGAAAAAGATAGCTTCTTTATTAAGCATTCAACCCTCACTATTCAAGGGAGAAACTGGCACTTCCTCACACTTTGCACTAAGATACAACAGCAGGGATGTAATGCTCTTGCTCAAAATAGGCAAGTGACTTCTTCAACAGAGAAGTCCAGAGTCGGGGAGGAGGAGGAGAAGGGGGACAGTATCAGATGTGGGCAGAGACAGGGGAGAGGCACAGAGGACCAGGAGAATGAATGGAAATCTGCAGCTGCTGGAGGTGGGGGAATCTTTAGGAAGTACCAGAGATCTGAGATGGAGGTGGCTCCCAGGAGTCAATGCAGGTGACCACAGTCAAGATGCCTAACAGTGGGGAGATGAGATCTGAAGAGCCATTTCCTGTAGCCAGGCAGGACCCCAAGTGGAAGGATGGTGACACCAATCCACCCACAAAACTTTTCCACCCAAAATTTGTCCTGTCTATAAGAAATGTAGGAACAAAGATGGAGCAGAGACTGAAGGAATGGTTAACTTATCCCATGGGCAAACACCAATTCCTGATACTATTAATGACACTCTTTATGTTTGCAGACAGGAGCCTAGCATAACTGTACTCTGCAAGGCTCTACCCAGCAGATGACTGAAATCGAAAGAGAGCTGGGGAAAGGATTGAAGGAACTGAAGGGGATAAAAACTCCATAGAAAGCTAACAGAGTCAACTCACCTGGACTCCTCGGAGCTCTCAGAGACTGAGCCACCAACCAGAGAAGTTCCTGGCACATATGTAGCAGACATGCAGCTCTGTCTCCATGTGGGCCTCCTAACAACTGGAGCTGGGGGCTATCCCTAAGGCTGTATCCTGACTGGAATACAGCATATTTATTCTGCTACATTGTATTCGTAGTGGAGCTCGATTAGGCAGTAGGAGAGGAGGTAGAGCTGGGAGAAGGAGAGAGGAAGGGGAGGGGAGAAAAAGAGGAAGGGAAGGGGAGGGAGAGAGGAAGGGGAGGAGAAGGAGGAGATTCTCCACCATGGAGGGGTCAAAAGCAGTGTAGCAACTTCTATCAAAAGGTTAGATATTTGGTAACAACTCTGTGTGGGCATCTTGTTATGTGAGTATTTCCAAATATATAAATCAACTGGATAATCTTTAAGCATAAAGAGTCTTCATTCTACCAGGTACTGCAAGGATGGCAGATAATGTCTGGGGTTCAGCCGAGCTTTGTGGATGCAGCGTGGGGGATTGGCAGAGCCATCCCCTATGCTGGCGTCTCATGGGTGCCAGGGCCTGTGCATCTAGCTAGCCAAAGCCCCAGTCAGA